ATGCTTGGTAAGAAATGTACGCATTATCCTGCCCATGCAATTGTACCCCTCTGTACAGTATGTTCACAAATAAAATAAAATAAAATTAAAAAAAATTAAAAAAAAGAAATTCTGCCTAGTCTTAGAGTTTCCTTTATTGTTTTGTGTTCTTAGTCAAGCTTATTTTGTGTATATAAAGTTTTTCACACTATACTATGTGATAGACATAGATTGTAAAATTGTTACAACTCTGCTGCCTTTGAACACAGATCATCAATCACAAGTAACAATTTTTCATGTTGGATCTAATCAAGCTGGCTGTTGGTATTAAGGATATAAGACCCTAGAAGTTTTCTCTAAATGTCCTCTGCTGTTTATACCAAAAAAAGCAGTAATAAAGAGTGAATGTTTAAATTCCAAATTTCACAATATATTAGATTGGGTGCCTACTAGATGCTCACTATTACATTGAGACTTGTGCAATTTAAGTGAAAGAGACAAGGTAAGCTCTAGACCCAAGAAAGGAATATCTAAGGATATTTTTATAGCTAGTATTGAGAAAAATGCAGAATTTGGAATATCAAGGACCTCAGTGTATTAGCTTGTTGAAGCATCATTTGCCTAGCAAAAGGGAGATCTAGAGTTGAACCCCCAGGACAATTCAGGAGATGGGGGGTGAGGGGGTAAGGGAGGGAATGACTGAGAGAGGGAGAGGGAAAAAGAGGGAGAGAGGGAGGGAGGGTGAGTAGAGAGAACAAGGGAAGGAGAGGGACAGAGAGAGGGAGGGAGCAGGAGAGGAAGGAAGGGAGAGAGAAAGGAAGAGACATACATATAGACAAGCAGGCAGAGAGAGAAAGTCAGGAAGAGAGACAGAGATATACAGAGACAGAGAGACACAGAAAGAAACAGAAATACAAAGAGAGAGAAAGAGACAGATATATAGAGAAACAGAGACAGACACAGAGAGACACAGAAAAACAGAAACACAGAGAAACAGAAACATAGACAGAAGCAGAGATAGATATAAAGAAACAGAGACAGAGAGAAAGGAGGAGAAAAGAGGAGAGAAAAAGAAAACAATTTGGTATTTCAAAAACCAAGTAGAAAGGAAAAATTCTCAAATTGTACTTCTTATAGTGTATGTGCTGCTAAAATGGGCACATAATTGCAGTTCTTTTAAAGACAAAACTAATTATAACTATAATCAAAATCAAATGGCCATTCTGCTCTCATTTACGATAAAATTTCCTCATAATTTTAGTGTGCAACGGGAGTTTTGTTGCTTTACTTCAGTTTTTGAATACTCACACAAAGTTTGCTTGAATGAAAGATCAGTTTTCAGGACATACTGATTCTTAAAAATGTCCCTTAAAATGAACTACAACACAGACATTAAGAACAACTCTGCTAAATTTCTTTTTTTTTCTTTTTCTTTTCCTTTTTTTTTTTGTTGGTCATGGGGCTTGAACTCTGGGCCTGAATGCTGTCCCTCAGCTCTTCAGCTCAAGGCTAACACTCTACCACATAAGCTATTTCACCACTTCTGGTTTTCTGAGTGGTGTACCTGAGATAAGACTCTCATGGACTTTCCTGCCTAGGCTGGCTTTGAACGGTGATCCTCAGATCTCAGCCTTCTGAGTAGTTACGATTACAGGCATGAGCCACCGGCGCCCAGATCTACTAAATTTCTTTTAACTTTCATTAATACTTCAATTATTTTAATTAAGAGATTAATACTTTTCCAAGTGTTCTCAAGAGAAGAAAAAAGCCTAACTCCTCAGGTTTCTTTTTAACTTTTTTTTCTCCCTTAGTTTTCTTTTGCAGTTAAGAATCCCTCTACATTCTTCAATATACTGAATTATTTGGACATATTGAAGATATTTTAAAAGTTATGATTGCATACTTTTAGTGTTGACTAAAACAATACATAAATACCTTGCAAGTTTACAAACAAAATCTAAATTCATTTGAAATGAGAATACCCACACTGATTCACTAGTTCCTGGATTTATCAATCATTTGTTACCTACTTCCCTTAAAGAAGACTTGGGAAAAGAGAATTTCACATGAAATACTTAAGCATCAATTAGCTCTGGCACTGAGTTTAAAATTGCAGGAGGAAACTATTTTGATTTGAATGCCTACCTCACACAGCACAAAATAGTTATAATTTATAAAAGCATCAGGATACCAAGGTAAAAGGCTTTAAAACAAAAGACTGAAATATAATTCATTGACTAATGTGATGCCCAATGAAATTCTCTGTCACAACTGTGGTGAGATAGATACACCTTTTTGTGTCTTGTATTCACCTCACCTTCTCTCCCTCCCTCTGGAGAGCTTTTGAACTTGGATTTGACATCTCTGAAATTTATGCACTCTCTAAATGTAAAGAGGTTTTCTGTTCTAACAGCTTTAGCCTTACTTAGAGTTCAGGTCTAACTTAGATTAAAGAGTAGTTGAGACCTTAGAAATTCAGTGTTTGTTCTTGATCCCCCCCCCCTTTTTATGAGGTTGAGCTAAAAACCCCAAAGTGGGACATAATGGCTTTAGAGACAGGAAATATTCTTTATTCTTTTCCCCCTCTAATGCAAAAAGCCCACAAGGCTCTTTTGTAGAAAGCCCACAGTGCAAGTACTCTCTCAAAAGCCACCTTTTTCTTCTTAATAGCCTTAGAAGGAGACAGTGTTCAGAAAAGATGACAGCATCAAGTGTTGCTAATGTTAGACCCAGCAACAAGCTAAGTGGTTTATAGTAAGAAGTCCTGTGTACTATATGCACTTGACAAAATAGGAAATTTCTTTTCCGCCAATAAAATGTTTTCAAAGGTCATTGCCTCTCAAATTTCACAATAAACAATTTGTCACCAGAAAGGGGGGCAAATACAAGGTAGCTCTCTGAAAAGCCATGGTGAGAAATGATTATTATGACTTCCTGGAGAAAAGAGCCAAGGAAGGATAGGATATAGGATATCTGGATTATGGATGGGATGGGTGTGATGGACAGTGAGCTATCAGTATAAACAGGACTATGTCTTTCCAGACATTTGTATCTATAGAACAACATGTCCACTTTAGCCCACAGGAGCCGCAAATAAGAAAATATTTAGGGATGGGAAGGTGGCTCAGTGGTAGAGCGCTTGCCTTGGATGCATGAGGCCCTGGGTTCGATTCCTCAGCACCACATAAACAAAAAGAAAAAAGCCAGAAGTGGTGCTGTGGCTCAAGTGGTAGAGCACTAGCCTTGAGCTGAAGAGCTGAGGGACAGCACCCAGGCCCAGAGTTCAGGCCCCACGACCGGACCTCCCCCCCAAAAAAGAAAATATTTATCAAAATACAAAAAAAGCATAAAAACAATACATTCATCCCCAACAAACCCTGAGCATGTTCTGTCACAGGTACTATGTGCACTGTGAAGCATTATAGAGTTCTTAGTTTCTGCACAGGTATTACCCAGAAGGGAACAGAATCCTTCTATTTATCTGTTACAAGTTTTAAAGACCCTCGAAAGCGTAGGAGCTGAATTGTTGTTTTCTTCCATAGCACTCTCATTTAAGTTAAGAAGGACATCACATTTAAAGACACAGAGATGAAAACATATTCTCCCTTAATCAAGATACTAACTCCATAATTCTGAAATTTGACTTTCATTTCTTGGAATAGTTGAGAGACAAGGCAATATGATTCCTGTAAGTATGTCAGAAATAAAATATTTAGAGCATTATTTAAAGCCTACAATTAATATCAGCTAATAAACAACATTTGCTGTAAATATCAACATCTATTTCACATGATGAACTGTGAATGCTTACCTTGAACTGTCAGGGTAGCGGATGCTTCAGCTTTTCCAACCATATTTTCTGCGACACAAGTGTATGATCCCATGTCACTAGCCATCACCTTGCGAATTTTCAATGTATGATCATCGCGGATTTCATATCTAATGGAATTAAAAAAAAAACACTTAGCCAAGTGAACTTCTTCTTGACTTCTTCACTCCAGGAAAAAGAAATTAAAACATATAAAACAATGTGGCATTCCTAACTTTGCTGGCAAAAAAAGAGCTTTAGTTATTCTCTGTGTATGAACTGGCACGTCGTTTCCTACGGGAACTTTTATCAGGAGGAGCTGGCTTTTATATCCTCAGTGTACTGTGTTCACACTAAAATGACACTGATCATTTATTGAATTCTTGTAACAAACTTGATACACTTTTACAGTTTTGTATCTATAAATGTTCATGGCACATTTAAGAAGTATACTATCTCCATTTTGTAGATGAGGAAACGAATGTGATGTCCGGCGAGGTTAGCAGAAGAGTTGAAATCTGAACCCACTTGCATTTAGATTTCATTTGCCTTGTTTCTTTTTCACTTCCATCAACTGTCGAGCTCTCCTGAAGTTTTGAATTTATTCTTTTTTATTTTTTAAATATGTTTTTTATTGTTAACATACTGTACAGAGGGGTTACAATTACATGAGCAAGGTAAGGTGTACATTTCTTATCAAGCATTGTTGCCTCCTCCTTTGTTTTTCCCCTCCCATCCCTTCCCTCCCATCTCAGCAACTACACTCCTCCCTGCTCCCTGGCCCCCCACCTCGCCTAAATTGTAAAGTTCATTTTTCGACATAGCGTCTTGTACAGCTCATTGTTGCAATGGGTCAACTCATATCCCTGTTTAAACAATTTGTTTTTCCCCTCCCCTCCCCAAATTATACCAACATCAAATACAGTGAAAACAGGGGTTATACCGTGGGGGAGGGACATACAAAGCAACAAAAAAATCATCTTATAAATATGTTAGAAACAATTGCATGAAATCAAAAACAACTGAATACTCATCTTGGGGTTCATTTCACCTAACATCAACTTATCTGACCTTTTCTGCTTGTCTCAGACATATACTAGTTATTTCAAACAAGGAAAACCTATTCTAATTCATATACCTTTCCCAGAGATATATTAGCTCCCATAATATCTAATTTGACTGCCTACACAAATTGCACCTCAGTTTCATCTACATTTAACATTCATATTTCCAACTGGCTAATAATTAGACAACCCATTCAACACGCATCTACTATTGCATAGGTTAGATGAAATGTTCCTTTCATCTCCTAACACAACTCAGATTCCTCTTCTACAACTCTCTATCTGAATTCAGAATTCTATTTAACAAAGTCACTTAGTCTATCAGATTACCATCAACATTTTTTCTCTATTCAGTAGCTATCTTCACCTCATCTTCCAGGGCAAACAATTTCATGTCTCTTAACTGTGCAACTCTAACAATGGTGTTCAGGCCACTTGCCTTTTCCCAGAATAGTGTCACATCTATAGAATTAACAAGGGTATTTTTTCTGAAAAGTAGCCATGCGGATTATCATTGTCACACAATGATTTCGAAGTTCATTTTTATTATCTGCAGCCCTTGAGCAATCAGCCATACGATCTCCAAACTATTTCCACACATACGATTATTGCTCATACCCTGCTTATATGTGTCCACCCCACTAATATATGATGTTTTTTCTTTACTTGTGTGAATGTTGTGATGGGTATTTTCCTGGAATATTTACTCTCACTTATCAATTCGATATCTCTCTCCTTAAATGTTCCCAATTGGTTGCTAAATCTGTACTCATATGCTCAGATGTTAAGGTGATTCTGTATCTGTCAGTAAAGGTGTTCTTTTGTGAGCCTCTTGAGGGCTGGGGCTGCATGTGCCCAATGCTATCATCCTAAGATCTAGAAGGGTTTAGGATTGCTAAATGCACTTTTGCTGAATGAGTTAATACACATGTGCAGACAGCCTATTGACAATATCTGTATATTCTGCTTCCTTCCTTTATCCTTAGGCTTCCTTATTCCTGAGTCTGCTCTTAGCCAATTTAAGAGCTTGAAAGATCGAGAAACTTTTCTAATTTTCCACACTGATATTATAGCTGACAAAAAGAAAAAGTCCAGTTTTTAATTGGCTCAAGGTATTGCTTTTGACGTTGTAGTCCTATAGAAGAATAGCATTAACTGTGACTGAGCAACAAAGAAATCTATTAAAGGAATACTTTTACCCATTTTACAATGCACAAGCCAGGGTCATAAATTCAGGGTTCTTATATGAAAGTCTCAGAGAAAACATGGGAACCTCCTCATTTTAATGATCTTCAGTAACCTAGCCTGGCCCCTAAACAAGGTTCTATATATGCTCTTCAATTTAGGATGGACATATGTCCTAATAAACCCATTGAAAATAACAAGTCAAAATAGTAGTTGACACACCTGTACTTATTGAAAATTTTAGCTTCACAACATAGTGCACTAGAAAGAGCATTAGTTGATGGTAGGTATAAACAAAGGAGGAGGTAACAATGCTCGATAGGAAATGTACTCATTACCTTACTCATGTTACTGTAACCCCCCTTCACACTATTTTTACAATAAAAAACATAAAAAAGAAAGAACATTAGTTATTTCTCTTCCTGATCTTGTGGTCCTTTGCTTAGTTCAGCAACAACATAGTATTATACTACATACTGCTAGCCCAGGAACTGCTCTAAGTATAGCTTGTGCTTAAAGCATATGGCTTTCTTGTTGTAGTAAAGTCCAAATATTGTCAGGCCATTAAATAGAAATGAGGACCTGTCTAGGGAGTAGGTAATGGCATTAGTGATCTGATGAAATCAGAAAATCCACGGGGATGAATGACATGAAACCTTCCTCTATACCTGGCTTTGGGCAGCTCCCCATCATCTTTCCTCCATCGTACTGTAGGTACAGGGTCTCCACGGGCCTCACATTTAAACTCAGCACTGTCATCCACAGTTACCGCCAAGTTGCTAGGTCTCTTCACAAATGATGGTCTCTCTAAATGAATCAGAAAGAGTCATTTCAAGGTAAAAGGTAAATGAACCAAAAAACACTTAAGTTTGTTATTAGGACAGATACTTAGAAAATTATTCCACATCGTTCTCTGCTACTATAGATATTTTATTTTCTTTAGTACCTCCAAGTTCCCTTCCACATATGGACTATTTTATCTCCTGTGGGTTTACTGATTCTTCTAACCTCCTCCTCCACCCCTGAAATAGTGGGCTGTTAACATTTCTTTCTCCTTTGTAGAAAGACACCAAATAATTATAGGAATGCTTGTGCAGCAAGGTAAAGCTACACTTACCTAAAACAGTTAGCTCTGCTACCTCACTCTCCCGTTCTCCAACCATGTTGGTACCAACGCAAACATATTTGCCGGCATCGCTTTTACGGGTGTAAGTTATCATGAGTTTTCCTCCTCGTATCTTAGAAAAGAAAAAAAAAAGTTTGACATGGATACAATTAAATAGTTTTAGCTCTGTTTATGGACTAGATGTTTTCGATATATACTCTTTGCTGTATTGATAGCTGATAATTTGAAATGGAATTCATTCTAAATGTGTAATCCAACAAAACTAGTTTTTCTTACCTTTATTTCTGTTTTTGACATTATTTACTTAAGTGTAAAAATACAGAAAAATTGCAGAATATTTTGATTGGTAAGAAGATAAAAAGAAAAGGTAAATTCTTAAATACCAAATGAATAAAATGAATAATTTAATGTTTGTCAATTACAACTGATCTAAAGAAAACATACTCTATACTTGTAAGATGTGACAATAAACATTTCTTTGGTTAGTCAGTTTACCAGAGTTGCTTCAAAGGAGTATAAATTAATTGCTATACATAGCACAACTTGTCTTTTCCTTTAAAAAAATCCAAAAAACATGGGTCCCCCTCCCAAAGTACCTTTCTGGATACTTTAAGGGCAGTGACAAATGAATCCCAATGAATCATCTGGAAAGTCACAGCAAGACAATCTTATAAACATTCAATTGAGTAAAAATTAATTAAAAAATATTCTGAAATTAAACATGAATCAAAATGAGTATGTAAAAACTAGACTATCTTTTATTAGCACCAACCATATCTAATGATTTTGCAGGAGTACATACTCATGGAGGGATTGACCTTACAGTTACTCTGTACAATCTACCAATTATCAATGAAATAAAATAAAATAAAATAAAATGAATGGAAGAAGGAAAGGAGAGAAAGAAGAATGAAGGAAATAGTCTAACACATTTTTTTTCTATTATGGCAATCCTGAAGACTGAATCCAATGCTATATCTGCAGCCTACCAAACACATATTTTTTTCCATTTTTATGTTATCGAATTTATTCAAATAGTTTGTAAAGAAGAGACGTCCTTACTATTTTGGAATGACTAAATTACTTTAATGTAGACATCCAAACTAGATATTTTGGTCACATCAAAACAACCTAAATATCAACAAGGGAGTTTTAGTATCTATGGTTTTAGAAGTAGATGTTTGCTCAGCAGATTTAAAAAAAAAACAATGGTCAATGGATCTATATATAAATATATCAGATGTGATTTTTTTTCCTCTGGATTGTCTATCATTCACATCTGGGATAATAGCTGCAATCAATAACCACTCTGACCTTTGTTGACTGCAAACTACTGTTACAGGCAAAATCTAGTTTGACTTCCAATCTGAGGTATTTTCCTATGTCTCTTAGTGAACATCTAACAATTCAAATTATTTAGGAGGCCAAAGAATGGGGATTGAAAATTTGAGACAGGAGGAGACCACATATCAAACATCACAGAATAATGCCACATAAAACACATCAACCACAAACAGCAACAACAACAATAACAACAACAGCAAAGATAAGGTTATATTTTGTTTAAGTGGCAGACTGTTTGCATAGCAAGAGCAAGTTCCTGAATTCAAACATATATACTTTTATAGAAGTGGAAGACAGTTAAGTATGTTTTCATACATACTTAAAATTTCAAATAATACGAAGTAGAATATAACTTCTAAAAGTCAATTATGGTCAATGCTTCATGAAGATCATTTAAACTCTGAACATGCACATATATATATATATACATACTAGCATACATGTAGTAAATATATACACATATATAAATATGTAACAAAATTTTACTACAGAATAATGAATAGTAAGTAGAATCTTGTTATATGGAATTCTATAATTTACATTTTTCAACAAAAATAAGACATTTTGATATTTTTAATTTTTGAAGAATTAGTACAAAGATTTTTAGCATCAATTTCAATAGCATCATGATATTCCATTATATACCTTTACTATATCTTACAAAACTATTCCCTTACACATAGCATTTGTTTCCTTCATTCTCTTTAAACAACACTAAAATCAACTTTTTTGTGGGTATAAAAACATCGCAGCAAGTCTCAAAGTAATATTCTTAAATCAAATGTAGAACAAACAAGGCTATTGGTCCAGAGTAGTATTTTATGTTTTATGAGTTGTTTTATTGCATAAATACATCATTTAAATGGTGCTCTTTAATATAACCCTGCTGTTAGACTGCTGGGTTAAGTGTTATAATACTCTCTCTTTTCACTAAAGGGACCAAAGCTCAGAAAAATACAGTCTTTGCTCCTACACATCTCCACCACACTCATCTTCAAAATATGCTTTAATTATGCTTTTAAATGTCAGGTTCTCCTTCCTGACTATGAACTATATGCCAGAGGAGCATGTCCAATTCCTCTTCATAGCCCCAGAACCTGTCACAATGCCTAGTAAAAAAAATCTAGATTCTTGTGGGAGGAAAGTACCTTAGCAAATGTCACAAATCAAGTTGAAACAGGGCTTAAATTTTAGGCAAACTGTCTTTGGCTACACAAGTTACACAAATGACAACAAATGCACAGCGCACAAGACTGTTAATATAGTTACTCTGAATTTGATAAAAGGAGCTCTTGGGAGTTATAACAATTGGTGTATCACAACAGCAACTTGCTCCCAAGAAGATCTATGATGACTTTTTATCATGGAATTATTTTGAAATACTTACATAAGAAACATAGGTCCCATGGTATTCTTTTGCAATAATTAGTATATATATCTAGGATAATCTTAGTAGATGAGCAGAATAGCTCAATAACTATGTACATCTGATCACATAAGATGATGTTAAGCTAAATGAACTCTAAGACACAGATGGTTTTCTTTGTTGTTGTTGTTTTCATCGTACTATATGATTATTTTTGGTATGTTCTTTCCCTATGGTATATCTCCTGTTGTCACTGTATTTGATTTTGGTACCCTGGTACTGCATATCCAGTTATTTGAATTAGGGAAGGGAAGGGGAACAACAGAATGGTGAGACAAAGGACAAGGGGGACCCAATACAACAGCGACACTCACAGATAATATGTTGGAGGTGATCTGTATAACTTTGGGGTGGGGAAGTAAGGGGAGGGAAATAGGAGAAAAATGAGGGAAGGGGTAATAAATTTGACAACAAACGTACTTATTACCTTACTTATGTAACTGTAACCCCTCTGTACATCACCTTGACAATATAAAAAGCAAAAAGAAATACATAAACATTTCCAGTATTGTTTTTGGAAATAAATTCTTTACAACAAAAATGGGGCAATGTTTAGAACAAGCAGAAAAGGTAAAAAGCTATGTACATATGATCATGTAAGACGATGTTAAGTGAAATGAACCTCAAGTTAAAGATACAAGTGGTTTTTTCTTTCTTGTTATGGTTTTAACGTATTTATAATGTACTATGTGTTTTTTTTTTTGTTTCTTTGGTATGTTCTTACCCCATGGTAGAACCGTTGTTTTCAGTGTATTTGATTCTGGTGCCCTGTGTCTTGTACATATATTTTTCTAATTTGGGGAAGGGAAAAAACAAAATGCTTAAATAAGGATGCAGATTGACCCATTGTAGCAATGAGACATACAAGACACTGTTGAAAACGAACTTTACAACTTCCCTGGGGGGGAGGGGGAAGGAGTTGGGGAGGTAGGGAGGGAAGGAATAGTAGAGGAAAAACAAAGGAGGAGGTAACAATGCTCCATAGGAAATGTACTCACTACCTTACTCATATAGCAGTAACCCTTCTGTACAGTATTTTTACAATAAAAAACAAAACATAAATGAGGCAAAGTCTCTATTTCTGAAATAGAAATTAAGTGATCTGCGAGGTAGTCCTATGCGCTATTAATGATTCTATTACTTTGCACAACACATTGTGCTCCTTTCATGCCTTAGAATTTAACCTTGAAAATCCTTGCATGTGTAGGAAACCAATTCATTTACAGAAGGACTTACTCAATAATCAATCCAAGTAAGAGCAAAATAAGAAGAAACAAACATTTTAAACATTCTCTATGTTCTAAAACCCAATAACTCAATCTGACTTATCCACAACAAAAGAAAATTTCAGTAAAGGTTTTTAAACATATTCAAATATTTACAAAAGTGAGAGCCAAAGGGATACCATATAAATGATTTTCAACAGCAAATATTTATTTCTACAGCTTAAGAATAATGCAGGACTGATTTATTTTCACATATTTTAAATACGAAGTAATGTAGAGTTTTAAATCAATGTGGTTAAGCACAAATAGGATGCCAATTAACATTACATATTATAGTCCAATGCTTTATATTTTGAAAGAATTTCATACATATGGAGAAAAGAGAAATTTAGTTAACAAGACTTATAGTGATTGCCTGGAGATTCTCAGACATGGAACAATTCCAGTTGTGAGGTGAAAGGGAGGTAATAATAGCTGAGGTGAACGAAAATTCAAAGAGAGCTATAAAGTCCTTAAGAGTCTGTAGTAGACACCCTGTTATTACAGTCCCCAATTCTAGTAAATTGGCTCAATATGGGGAATTTTTACAACTCAATCTAGTAGGAGGCATGCTTTAAGGTACTATCAATGTTTCTGGTACTGAATAATAACAGGAAAACTGTTCCTATTACATGAAATTCCACTTTATAGCCTTCATTTATAATTAAATCATATGAACAGAATAATATGAAAGTAGCCTACTAGGCATTTTAAAGTATTTTCAGTATCATTTGTAAGTAGACAAACTCTAATTATATGGGTACCACTTCAACAAATGTTTCTCAAGAGATAGGTTTTTTTGTATGAATTATCTTTGGAAGCTTTTTACATTAGGATAAAGGATTTACAAAGGATTAAAAATACATATTTTTTGTGGTGTTCATGCACGTATAATTTCTATATTAATACAAAAATATCCCCTTTGGACTGAGACCTGAAAAATAATGTTAAGCTTACAAAACACAATTTTTCATATTTTGTATCAGCACCATTTAGTTGAACAGGAAATTTCACCTTGAGATGCAACATGTTTTGGCATTTTTCACCCTCTAACCCTCTATACTTCCTAAAATTCCC